CTTCCTTCCGAGGAGTGGCTGGTGGGTTTGAACCGCCAGCCTTCTGGTTAGCAGTCAAGTGCCTTAGGCACTATGCTACCAGGGCTCCCAGGCACTAATCAATAGTTTCAGCAAAGTGCAGAGTACAAGATCAACATACAAAAATAAGTCAGATTCCTTTAGACTAATAAAGAGAACTCTAAAAAGGGATTTGGAAAGCAATACCATTTACAATAACCACCCAAAAGATGAAGCACTTAGGGGTAAATCTAACCACTGACACAAAAAACCTATACAAAAAGACCCATATAAATGGAAGACTATAGCATGCTCACGGATAGGAAGATTTAACATTGTGAAAATGCCAATACTACCCAAAGTGATCTACAGAGCCTGATCCAGGTCCCATTGTCTTTCTTTAAAGAGATGGAAAAATTAGTCACCAACTTCATATGCAAAGGAAAGAGACCCTGGATTAATAAAGCACTATGAAAGAACATATTAGGATACCTCACACTCCCCGATCTCAAAACCTACTATAATGCCACAGTAATTAACAACAGCCTGCTACTATTACAGTGACACATACACCAAGGGAACAGAATTGAGAACCCAGAAGTAAATCCATCCACATATGGACAGCTGATCCTTGACAAAGGGCTAAAACTTGTTAAATGGAGAAGAGTGTGTCTCTTTAATAAATGGTGCTGGCAAAACTGGCTATCCAAGCAATAATGGTGTCACAATATGAAAAATATCATCCATGTATTTATTTGAGCTATAAATGTGGAAGTTGTTATGTTGGTGAATGTCTTGTTGTGTATGTTTTTACCACAATAAAAGTAAAAAACAAAACCTAAATCTCCATTAACAGAAAAATGAAACAGGGCATATATCTCACATCATATACAAAAAATAACTCAAAATGGATTAAAGATCTGAAAGTAAGATCTAAAACCATAGAGACCACGCAACAAAAAATACCGACAAACCTAGGAACATTAATACAGGGCATAAATACATTCATTGAATATAACCAACACTGCAGAAATAGCACAAGGCAAAACAGATGACTAGGAGCTCCTAAAAATTAGACACTTACATGCATCAAAAGATTTCAGCAATTATAAAAAGAGAACCTACAGATTGGGAAAAAAATTTTTGCGTACCAAAAAATTTCTGACATACCAGACAAGAGACTAATCCCTAAAATTTATAGAAAACTTCTACACTTTAACAACAAAAAGATAAATAATCCAATTAAAAATGGGCAGACATTTCACCAAAGAGGATACTCAGGCAGCTAACAAACCCATGAAGAAAGCCTTGCGATCATAAGCCATTGCAGAGATGCAAATCAAAGTAACAGTGAGATATCATCTCACCCAAGCACTAACAGCAAAGTTAAACAAACAAATAAACAACAACAACAAACCCACAGAAAACAAATGCTGGCAAGGGTGGAGAGACTGGAACCCTCATATACTACTGGTGGGAATATAAAATGATACAACCACTGTGGAAAATAGTATGGTGCTTCCTTAAAAAGCTGGAAATAAAAATGCTGTATGATCCAGCAATCCCGCTACTAGGTATATAAACAAACAAACAAAAAAAACACAAACCCACTGCCACTGAGTCAATTCTGACTCATAGCAAACCCCACTGGATTTCCAAAGCTGTAAATCTTTATGGAAGTAGATTGCCTCATCTTCCTCCCATGGAGCAGCTGCTGGGTTTGAACTGCCGACCATCTGGCTAGCAGGCAAATGACTTACCCACTACACCAACAGAGCTCTTTACCAGGTATATATCCTAGAGAAATTAGAGCCATAACATGAACAGATATACGTACACCCATGATCACTGCAGCACTTTTCACAACAGCAAAAAGATGGAAACCACCTAAATGTTGTTGAAATGGATCAACAAACTACGGCATATACACATGGAACACTACACAACATTGAAGAATAATGACGAATCTGTGAACATCTCATAACATAGATAAACTTAAGAGGCCACATGCTGAGTCAATCACAAATGGACAAATACTGTATAAGGCCACTATTGCAAAAAGTCTAGAAAAGGGTTTCATGAAAAAAGAAATATTGTTTGATGGTCAGCAGGGGGGAGTGGAGGAGGGAAGGAAAACCACTAAGGAGAGGGTAGACACATAGTAATTCGGGTGATGGAAAAACAAAACCAAATAAAGGTGAAATCTCACCTATTAAAGTGAAAAAAAAAAAACAAACAAAAAAAGCAAGCAGGGATGTGAAAAAGAGAGGAGGGGCTTTGGCACCTCTCTCTTCCCGCCACCTAAAGGAAGATAAAATCCTTGCTGCCCTTGATCTCTCAAGCAAACAGAGAGCTGGAGAATCTGTCTCATTCAGACTGGGGCTCTCCAGGCCACACTGCCATCTTCCCTTGCCTGGACATTGAGTGACTTGCCCAGTCTCCTTACTTGCCCTCCCACCTAGTAATATAAGGACAGACCAATGTCACCATATTCGGAGCACTTACAAGTCCTCCCAGGAACCTCGAGACTCGGGCCCTTCCTAAGTGCTTCTGCCATGTCCTCTCTTGCTGCTCCCTGAACACCACAGATACACGCCACCTTACAGTCTGTGCCGCCTGCTTCCTCTCTCGGAATGCTTTCTCCAGTGATCCTCACATTCCCTTCCGCCAGGTCTCTATTCAAATGCTCCTCGCTGAAGATGCTTCTCCGAGCAGCCACATAAGTGCTAGCCTCTTCACCATCTCTCTCCTTGACCATTCCTTGCTATTTCCTACACAGCACCAACTGCTCCTCGTCAGGGAGCAAGGACTGTATGCCCCAAGTCTGAAACACCTTGTCTGGCAGTGTCAGTAATGCTGAGGGGATGAACAAAGGACAGTGTTATAGATTAAACTATGTGTTGAAATATATGTGCACGTACATGTGTATGTGTATGTATCGTGTATATATCCAATATGTGTATATAATACATGGAATAAACTATGTGTTGGAATATATTCCCACCCTAATTCCTATGGATATAATCCTGTTTGGACACGGGGTTCCTGTTATGTTAATGAGACCACACCAGAGTAGGCTGGGTTCCAAATCTAATCGTGTTCGAGTTATAAAAAGCAGAGAGATGCACACCTGTGGGGAGATGCCATCCTCTCGGTGAAGATCACTAAGAAATCAAGGACTGCCCAGGGCTGTTGTCAAGGAAGCAGTGATGTGGTTGACTTTGATTTGAACTTTTCTGTTCTAGAACTCTAAGGAAACAAAGTTGTTCTTTTAAACCATCTCCTTGTGGTATTTCTTTTACAGCAGCACTAGTAACCAAGGCAGATGCTCCCTCCAGTCTACCTCCCCACCCCTTGGGCCCACAGCCCTTCTGTCCTACTCCTCAGTTCAGGCTGACATCACTCTCCCTGTTTGAGACTCTGGGGCATTCTCCCTATCTCGGTGCTTTCAGTCCAGATGCCTTTGTTCTCTGCAGGCCCATCCGAGGGGCCTAAATGCCGATCTGACTTGGCGACATGCATCCCTCACAGGACCAGCCCCTCTGCCCACCACACCCTCTGCCCTGTCCTCAATGACACTTCATGCCCTAGACACCTTGACATCTGTGGCCCAGATACCCTGCACTCTCTAGCACCTGCAGCTGTCCCCTTCACAGGCACAGGAGACAGACATGGGCACCTTTCTCTCTTCCTGTAGGACCTATAACCCATCCATCATCACACAATCCACACGGGCTACAGGTCTTTATGTTCTCCCACAGCCCTGCTCTGGTTGCGTGGAGCAAGGATGGGACAGGGAAGAATGAAGGTTGTGACAACTACACAGACAGAGGTCCTCAATACTCTTCAGTAAGGGCCAGAGAAAACCTATTTTAGGACTTGTAGTTCTATGGTCTGAGTCATGTTTTCTTTTCAGCAATCCTTTAAAAACTGCAAGCTGCTTGTAGCTTGTAGGACATAAAAAACAGGCCACTACCCAGATTTTCCTCAGGGTCACTTGCCAGCCCTAGATTTGGACATGATGTCCCTAGTGTAGATCAGGAGGTAGTGGCAGCAAGGAATAGAGAGAAGTGGGAGGACTCAAACAAAACGTGTATGAACTGTTGTAAAGAAAATGAATTTGCTCTGTGAACTTTCACCCAAATCACAATTAAAAAAAAAAAAAA